AAATTCCTCTAGCAAATCGCGCTTCCAAGATGTGAATCCTTTTGAGCCCCTTAATATGTTGTCTGATTCTGAGACTCAGGTGGAAGAACCTAATAGTGCTATTGAACAGCACCAGAGTGGACAAGACCCCATTTCTACACCAATGCAGAACCATGAATCTGCACTTGAGGAAAGTCTTGAGGACTTACATTGGCCAATTGCTTTGAGAAAAGGAAAGAGGAATTGTACCAGATATCCTATTGCCAGGTATATTTCATACAAAAGTTTATCTCTTCATTTGAAGCCTTTTGTAGTTAATGTCGAAAATGAAAATATTCCGAAGAACTTTAAGGAAGCAATCATAGATCCCAAATGGAAGGAGGCCATAGAAGAAGAATTGAGGGCTCTACATAAAAACCAGATATGGGAAATCACCGAGTTGCCTAAGGGGAAGTCAATCGTAAGTAGTAAGTGGGTTTTCACAATAAAGTACAATCTTGATGGGAGTGTAAACAAATATAAGGCTCGATTAGTTGCTAGAGGCTTTACTCAGACTTATGGGATTTATTACCAAGAAACTTTTGCGCCTATTGCCAAGCTTAATTCTGTAAAAGTTCTGTTGTCTCTCGCTGCAAATCTAGATTGGCCTTTACATCAACTCGATGTCAAAAATGCATTCCTAAATGGTGATCTTGAGGAAGAAGTTTATATGAAATTCCATTGGGATTATGAGATTCTCATAATTCTCACAAGGTTTGCAAGTTGATCAAGTCTCTGTATGGCTTGAAACAATCACCGAGGGTGTGGTTTGAAAAATTTACTCAAGCTATCAAAACTTGGGGATACAAACAATGCCAAGCAAATGACACTCTATTTGTTAAACATTGTGATGAAAAAATGACGACTCTCATTGTGTATGTTGATGATATAGTTTTGACAGGAAATGATGATAGGGAAATTGTCAAACTAAATGACAACTTGGCAACTGAATTTGAGATCAAAGATTTTGGATCTTTGAGATACTTCTTGGGCATGGAAGTGGAACAAACGCATAAGGGGATAGTGTGTCCCAACGAAAATATACTTTGGATTTGTTGAAGGAAACGGGGATGTTAGGAGCAAGACCTGCAAACACTCCTATGGAACTGCACCAGAAATTGACAATCAGATTTGATAAGACAGTAATAAATAAAGATATTAGAGGCTAGTGGGCAAGTTGATCTATTTATCTCATACTAGACCTGACATTTGCTTTCCTGTGAGTGTAGTTAGCCAGTTCTCAAGCTGTCCTCGGAAGGAACATTTAGCTATAGTTTACAAGATACTCAGGTATCTGAAAAAGACTCTAGGACTAGGACTGTTCTTTGCAAAAGGTGATATTAGAGGCATAGAATTGTTCACAGATGCTGATTGGGTTGGGTCAAAAATAGATAGAAGATCTATTGGCTATTGCTCTTATGTGCGGAGCAACTTGGTGACTTGGAGAAGCAAGAAGCAACCTGTAGTTTCAAGAAGCTCTGCTGAGTCCGAATATAGGGCTCTTGCTCTAGGAACTTGTGAAGGAATGTGGATTGTTAGACTTTTAAAGGAGCTCAAGATTGACATGGTTGGACCCATTAAAGCATGGTGTGATAACACGTCTGCAGTCAAGATTGCCAACAATCCGATTCATCATGATCGTACCAAACATATGGAGATCGATCCGCATTTTATCAAGGAAAAATTAGATACAAAGACTATTGATATATCCTACATCCCTTCAGGACAGTAGATTGTAGATGTGATGACCAAACCATTGACCTAAGAAAAGTTTGAAGCATTCAGAGGCAAGCTGGAAATTTACTCTCCAGCTTGAGGGGGAGTATTGGACATATAACTCATTATTGGGCCCTAGGCCCAGTTATATCTCAGACCTAATTTTCCTTTTTTTCACTTTTCATCTTGCAACATTCTATTTCAGTATCTTTAATTTGATTTATATTATTAGAGATTTTAGGAGTGTTTAGGGATTTAATTAGATTCACTCTCTCCTGCCCCTATCTATATATGTATCGGGTCCCTATCAATAAAATACAAGCATTATTCAGTCCAAATAAAGTTTCAAAGGGAAACTCACTTTATATGGAACCTATGACAATGTGACATGGTGAATGCAAGGTGAGGATTTCTGTTATGATTTTATAATTTTGACATTAGTTAGTTAGGATGACAAGGGGATATAGCTGTTATGTGTTATAGTGGTTAGTCCCTATAAAAACCCTTACATTTTGAATTGTACAATAGCGATGGCAGATTAATAAAACTCCAGTGTTATTAAGTATCTCCTCTCTCCTCTCTAATATCTCTCAACCTCCTCCTTCTCTAACCTTGCTATTCTTGTCTCAATCTCTTTTACTTGAAGTTATAATTCTATGACAGTGGTATCAAAGCTAATGCTCCTCGGCCACCCTCTTTTCCCTGCCACTCATCCTTTTAGTTTAGGTAAAAATAAGAAATCGAACCCAACAAGAAATGGAGGAAAGATTGCACTAGGTTGAGCAAAGGCTTACCAAGTTAGACACCATTGACATGCTCAGTGATCAAGTAATGGGTCTTCCAAACTAGATCCAACTTTTGATGTGTGATTGAGAGGAAGAGTCAACCAATGGAGATCGGCATGGTAGAAGTGGAAGAAACAGCCATCGTCGCCGACATGAAGATGATCATTGTCATCGAGAAGACTACTGATGACCTACCCAATTCACGAAGATGGATTTTCCGAAGTTCTCCCGTTTTGATGTTTTGGGGTGCGTTAGAAGATGCAAGCGTTATTTTGAATTAGATGATACCCCATAAGATGATAAAGGCTTGGTCATGGCATACCTCATGGAAAGAGCCTGGTTTGGTGTAAACCCAATGTGGAGCGAATATGTCGAAGCCCTTGAGCAACGGTTTGGACCCATTCAGAAGACACCTTGGAATATCTGATGCGATTGTGATAGAAGGGTTCCTTGGCCGACTTTAATGACACGTTTGACATTGTGGCTTGTAAATTGGATTTTTAGCAAGATTTGTTGGTTGAAGCATACATGGAAGGGCTATTGGAAGATTACGTAGGACCTGTTAGGCTTTTCAAACCAAGAGCCCTTCAAGAAGCACAATCGTTGGCTCGCATGCAAGAAATAACTCTGCGAAGACAAGCATTTGAAATTACAATTCTACAACAATTTCTCTACAAATTTCTGTGAATGATGGGTACCTAAATGGGATGAGAAATCCTACCCTAAAAACTAGCTGTTGAGGTGAGAGAACCAACCTACTTATATACCACATTGAGCATCCTATGCCTACTCAATGTGGGACTTGACATCTCATACTTCCAAGTCTCTATCAATTGGTTGTCAACAGATGCACTCCATGGCAGTTATCTCGGCCTCCCACTAGTCAAAACTTTCTGGAATTGTCAACATCTAAGCTCTAGTATCAATTTATGAGTATCTAAATGGAATGGGGAGCCCTACCTCAAAAGCTAGTTGTTGAGGTAGGAGAACCAACTCACTTATATACCTCGTTGAGCATTTCATATTACTCAATACAGGACTTGGTTTCCTATACTACTAAGCCTCTATCAATTGGCCCCTTATGGATAGCTGATGTCTTAGCAATTGTGCTGTATGACAGTTAACCCGGCCTACCTATCAAAACCCTATAGCTTTGATACCTTTGATAGGGATAAAAGAGAAATGGAGGTAGAAATAGAAATATCATTCACACCAACCCATTACATCCTTAGGATCCTATTTATATAGAGAATATAACTAAATTCCCAAACTACCCTTTTATCTCCCATTCCCCAAATTACCCTTACAATTACCAATTCCCATGTATCAGGGATTGGTATTAAGAATTATGATGTGATCTTAAGGTTGGAATTGGCTGACATCTTTGGGTGGCATTTATTGGGATTTTCCTAACTATACCATGACTTTTTGGCAAGATGGTAAGAAGCTATCTTTAAAGTCACATTATCCCAGTACTTGGCAACTTACAAGTGCTAAGCAGTTATAACATGTGCATTCCAGCCAGTTTTTTTAATTGCACTTGGAACATGAAAGCAGTGTGCAATGCTATGACAGCAGAAATTCAGGAAGTCTTGATGAATTTGAAGATTTTTTGTGACTTTTTGGGTTTTGAATTCTCCAATTCAGCCGAGAGAGGGGAATTCAATCTTTTGGTGTGTAAAGCATGTTTGGGAGAGTAATATTTTGTGTTGCTGTTCTGTGGATCGTATTCTTTGCTGTTCCATATCCTCTGTAATGGTTATTTGATTGTTGTTTCAGTGTATGGGTGTATGAGGGAGATGAGATTGGCATGAATCATTATTTCCCTTGTAATCCAGCTTAAATATATATATATATTTGGGTCGAGAATGCAGCTTAAATATTCAGTAATAGTATTTTCAGTCCCATTTGTAGTGTATTTTCTGGTTTTTTCTTGTTTTGAGCTTATTAGAGTCGAGGGTTCTATCGATTCCTTTGATAATTCAATCAGTTTGAATGGTTTATTTTGGTATGGAGTTATTTAACTTCAAAGACAGGTTTGAGGTGTTTCCCAAACCTGTCACTTTACCAGCTCCCAGTTGGCCCGGTCTGTATTGGCTGGTCTGGTTTGGGTTGTAGACCAATGTTATTGAGTTCTTTTACTTTTCTTGTCTTATTCGGCATCCATTTTCTAGTTTTTGTCATTTAAACCCTATCAAACTACTTTGTATATTTTTGTATTATATGTATCAATTGAAACAAATTTACAATATAATCATGTAAAAATTGAATGCAAACACTAAGTTCTTAAATAAGTCTTTTGATGAAGCGGGAATATGAAGTGATGGTCCTGCCAACATGTAATGCGGAATAATACAATCCACCCACACCATCCTCATCCCCATCGTCTATTTAGATTTACAAGCTATCTTCTTCCTTATTGAAAGGCTTGGAACTAGCAGCAGATGTTGTTTACTGTTTGAACTTTTTGCTTATTTCCAGAAACACGCATTAAACTGGCACCTGCAAGTGAGAATGACAAGCAACAACTTAAGTGGTTTTCAGATGCATGCAAAGGAATTCCACAGGTTTGTCACATGCTATATGTGGTTCATTGGCGTTAATGTGCTGAATTTGATTTCCATTTGTTGATTGTTCAGATTGGGTTCAGAAACTTAATTTGATGTTTCATATTAGTTTATTGGCTGTTTACCAAATATATAGGATGTTGGCAGACAATATTCACTCTGTGGCTCTCATTCTCAATACATTATTCTTGAATCTAAAAATCTTTAGATTTTCAGGAAAATCCAGCATTTTTGCAGAGTAACATTAGAACAGCTCCTCCCTCAGCACCTCCAGCTGCAGAAGACATAGAGATGGCTGCCGCTGTCAGGGCATCCATGCAGTCTGCCATGCATGAGAGGCCACCCCTTGCAAATGCCCTGCCAAACTTTGGAGCAAGTTCTTCAAGTGGAGTAAATACAACAAACAAGCATGATTCAATTGGCTCACCAAATCCGAAGACAAGTGGTAGTTTGGCCGTAAATGAAGGCAGTCTGGGTAGCAATTCAAGCCAGCCCCTTCATATCAATGACAATGAGCCTGTTCCCCAAAGTTCTAGTGGTTTGGATTTGATTCCATCAGCTCCTCCAATTGCGGATGAGAATCCACTACATGGCCCTATTCATTATCCATCAATTGATTTAACCCCTGTTGAAATATCATCTCCAACTGTAGAGAAACCACCTGAAGAAGGAAACAATGCTGCTGGGAGTGGTTCGTCTTGTGTGATCTGTTTAGATGCTCCAGCCGAGGGGGCTTGCATACCCTGTGGCCATGTTGCCGGATGCATGCCTTGCTTGAATGAGGTCAAAGTAAAGAAATGGGGTTGCCCGGTTTGTCGATCAAAGATTGACCAAATTATAAAGATATATCACGTTTAATATTAAAAACAATGTTAATAGCCTTGACTGTAATATATTTTGAAAATGACATGGAATATTGAGGCCTCACTTTGGGTCTGAATATCTTATCCTCATGTACCATATATACTTAAATAAAATCTTATCCTTACTTTGGGTAAGACCTCTTTTTTTTGTTAAAATGACATTATGCACGTGGGTAAGACCTCACTTTGGGTCTGTGAATATCTTATCCTCATGTACCACATATTGTGATTTTAAGTCTGCTTTCCAAAGTGTACCTTGTCGATTTTGTTCATTTGTTATACATATATCCATGTCTATTTAGTGGCCTGGGACTTCTGGGATTTGTATGCAAATTTGAGCCCATGAAAGTGAGTTTGGATTACCTCAGTATCCTATAAGCTCCATGAGTTGTAAGGTTTTTAACATGGTAGCTGGGTGCATTCATCTTCAAAAGAAGCATATGGCTGCAGGCTACGCAATGTTGGATGAGTGAACAAACCAATGTTATAAGGGGTATTTTGTCTTTCAACTATTTGCAGGAACATCTAGTATCATTGTCATTAATAATAGTTAATTTTGATTGTTAGTTGACTTAAAAAATTTAAAAAAATTAAAAATTACAACAGTGGACTTAAATAATTATAAATAAGTATTTTATAGAAGAATTAATAGTAATTAAGTTCTATAAAATACACATAAATAGCAAGAGACATGTTATTCTTTACCATGTAAAAGACTAAATACCATTTTGACAGGTTAGTAGATGATTATTGGACTATCATTTTTGGTAATAACGGTAATTAATGAAAAAGTAATATAGTTGTTTTAATAATATCTTGTTTAAACATTGACACTATTAATATTTAATAATATTTACCAGTGTTATTGCTAGTAATAATAATGAAGAATTTATTTGTAATTTAAGGGATTTGATCAATATTTCCTTATAGGGTTCTTTAATGTAAATTTTGAAGTTTTTTAATAATTTTTTAAGTTAACTAACGGTTAAATATGCAAGCAGAATAGCACTAAGGGGGACATTGCATCACAAAAATTTAAGATATTAGACATTCCTACATGAATAGTTGAACGCAAAAATACCCTGTAACTCAACAAACAATAACTTGCAAAATTGATAAAGGGCTTGTTTGTTTTCCATAAAAATTTAATGACCTGTATTGCAAAGAGATTTGAAAAATAGAAATAGAAGTTATTTAATGTTTGATTATGATAATAAGAGATGATTTATTATTTAGTGACTTCAATTTTTTTTAACATCTCTATAGTTTTTTTTTTACTAATATTATTTTTTATTTATTATGTCTGACTATTTTTAAAAAAATAACTAGAAGTAACTTCCCAAGATAATAAATTTTTAATCATATTTTTGTTATTTGTAAAAGATTAAATCAATATTGAAAATGTTTTCTAAGAACATTTTCTTTCAAAAAATGTGATCTTTTCATGAGAATCACTGCATGTAACATCCCACAAAATTTTAATTGAGGATTAATTAAGGTTAATTAGGAAGGAGTTGGCAAATTGTGATTAATCTGAGGGATTTAAGGTTAACCTAAAGCTTTGAGGTCTATTGGACCTTAATGAAGACTTCATATATAGGAATAGGGGATCTTTGGGCCAAATTGAGCACAGTGTGGATGGCTGAGTGTGGGCTTTGCCCATTGTACCATCTGCCATGGATAGATGTAATTTCTTTTGTAGGAGGTAGGATGAGGATACGAAAGCATGTGGGTAAGAGCATTCTTTTGCCAGGGTTCATAAGTTTCAGCTCTTTTTAGTGCTCTTAGGATGTATACAACTCTTGGGTAAAGCTCCTCCACCCTCTTTGCTACCCTCTTCATGTTCTTCTTTTTGTTCTTTGGGCGGTGGTACCAAGGTTCGAAAATGATAGGGAAATATACTAAGTTTCTATCATGTTCAGGATTAATGGGAGCTCAGTTAAGTACTATAACCTTTGAGTAAGCACTAATAGAGGTTTTTGAATTGTAAAGTAAGATTTATGGTGAACCCTAGTATGGATTAGCTAATACTCAATGATTAGCAAGTTAAATGCTCGTTGTTGGTTATGGGGAGTTTACATGAGTTAGAAGGGCTTAACCAAAGGAGTACATAATGTATATAACACTAATAGAAGTAGGCTTAAGCAAATGAGTGCATAATGTATATAATACTAGTAGAAGTTTTGAGTTTTAAAGCCTTGATTAAAGGGGAATTAATTGTGATTATTCATAATTAGTCCTTGTTGGTCATTAATGCCCTTGATTGTAGATTTTTGTCTACTTTGGACTACTTGGGCCTATTGGAGGCTCCTTGGGCTATCAAAATGTACTCTTGAATGGTAAAACCAAGGGTTAAGGTAATCGATACTAATTATTGTATATGTTGTTGCTTACAAATTTAATTTATGGGTACATTTAGCATGTTAATGATCTATTTAACATTCCAAATCATAATTCAAGGTTTAGATTAATTAATTAAGAGATTTAATTAGTTAATTAGGGTGATTAGGAATTAATTATAGTATTAGAATGGCCATTTAGGCTTATTGGACTTTATATAAGGCTTAAAAAGGGGTTAGAGAGGGGTATGAGGCCATTGTTTGATCTCATTCCCATTATTGAATGTTTTTTCTAGGACATAAGAAGGCAAAGGATAGAGGGGAAGCCTCCGAGGCCAAACACTAGAGTATAGCTTTGTAATCTCAAGTAGCTTTATATGTGTAATGAAACATACTTATAATGCCAATATAGGATTAATATACATGTTTAACTATATATCATTTTTATGAGAGCCCTGATTGTTGACTTGGTCATTTTGATGGGTGGCCTTATGTTTTGAGAAAAAGCGAAAAAGGTCCAATATGCAAATGTGTTGATAATATTGATTGATTATTTTATTATACTTTGAAATATCAATTGATATGAGTAGTTTATGCATGTATGTGTTTTCATGTAACTTGTATTCAAGAATGGCATGGTAAGGGGAGACACTTAGTAGAGGTGCCTCTTGCAAGTAAAGTCTTGTTTGGCCCTAAATGTTTCGGGATCCTCATTTGGTACCTGATTGAGTCATGACCAGGGCCATAGTTAGATTTCTTAATTGTCTACATGCAAGCACTTGGATCACATTAACTAAAGGTTTGGGCAATTCATTAGGGGCTTAAGAAGTTTAAATTAATGCTACATATTATGTGCTATCATTGCTAGTGTCCTGTGGCAAAAGTAGCCGTTAGCCACAACGAAAAGGCCTTCGTGCCTTAGGCTATGATGAATATGTATTTAGTTGTGGTGAATTGTATGGGTGTTTGGCCTCAACAGATGAATTAGTTAGCCATGGCTATTGATACTTTTTGGGTTAGCCACATCGAAAGTGCTTTTAGTTGTGGGGGATGCAGTTAGATTTCCAATTTTTTATTTGTACCCCTATTTGAATTTGTTTTAAATGCTCAATCTATTGTTTATGTTTTTGCTTATCTTTCTTACTCTAATTTTCAATGTTTTCAAGAACGACTTCTTTCAAGTGCATTTTTAAATAATTTTGGAATCATAATCTTCTAAACTAATTATGAGGACTTTGATTTAATTATGTGTAGTTGGTTAATCCTTAATAGTATGGGTTAGTAGTTTAGTTGAGTTAATCTAGGTTAATGATGGAGGCCATTACAAATTTGGCATTAGGTTATCGAGTTTTCAAGAGTTGGTACTTGTGAGTACTTTATTAATTGTCATGTGAGCATAGCATTTATAAATGTTGGAAAAGCATATTCATTACATATGTTTATCCTTTTATTTCATTTTGACTAATCTAATTGTGTGCTAACCTTCTTGTTATATATTTCATCCTTAGGAGGAGAGAGATGCTAAGAAAAGGTTTGAGATCCTTCACTGCTATTGGGCAAAAGGGAACCTAATAGAACCCACAGAAAGAGGTGCAACTTGCTTGTATCTTAGTGCCACACACTGATCTCCTTAGGGGAATGATGAACTCCTGAAGGAGTTGTGGGACATTTTGATGGATGTTAGGGTTTTGGTAGGAGGCATGAAGAAGTGTTGAAGACCAAGAGGACTAGGGAGATTACTGTATCAACTTTACAATTATGAGAAATGAAGAAAATAGCAATCGCAATGGAGGTCATCTAAGTAGAAATGGAGGAAATGGGAATGCTGGATATAGCCAGGAAGGTGAATATGAGGAAGGGAGCTAGAATAATAGGAATTAAGGGCACTACTCCCCTTTGGGTGCTTCTGTGGAAGAGAAAGATGATTAGAGGTTTACCATGACTGAGGTGACCATAAACAAGGCATGGAAGAATTTATTTATATTTTGCCCTCCTCCATTCTAGGGAAATATGGCTAGAGATGCTGCTGAGAAATGGATAGAAAAGATAGAGTCCATTTTTGAGGTTAGTGATAAGTTTATCCAAACAAAAATGGTGCTCACTATTGTGTTGTTGAAGGATGATGACAAACATTAGTGGTGGTCTACCAGGCCTATTAATGGGAGGCATTTAAGCTAAGAATTTAAGTGGTTGTTCTTCAGTTTCTATTTCCCTATTGCATTGAAGTTTGAGAAAGAGGGAAAATTTCACAATTATGAATAAAGGAATATAGATAAGGAGAAGTTTATTTTGAATTTTAATGAATTGGCTAACTATTCTTCACTACAGGGAAACAACAACAACAACAATCGTTGGAATGCTGAAAGGCTTCTTAAGAAGACAAGGCCCAAGAGTCATTGCTACTTAGCACATTTAGGTATATATGCATTGTTTGATTCGGCAGCAACCCACTCTTTTATCTTTAATGATTATGTAAAAAGAATGTCTTTTGTTTGTGAGCATGCTACCTTATGATTTGAATGTTTCTAAGCCTGTAGAAGCAATTGTTAAGACTGCATTCTTTTGTATAGGTAATGAGCTAAGGTTTGGGAATTAGGTCACTACCATTGACCTAATCTAATTGCCCGTGAGAGGTATTGGCATCATCATTAGTATGGATTGGTTGTTTGTGAACAATGCAATCTTGAATTGTACAAGGAAGAAGGTTTCTTTGCTAGAATTCACAACTAGTGCTTTTACTTATGTAGTCGAATTGAAGTTTCTTTGGTGGTGTAAGCTAAAAAATGCATGAGATAGGGTTGCAAGGTATTCATGGTTTTGTGCACTATATAATGAACTCTATATGATAAACTTG